AAAACCCCCCCCCCCCCCCCCCAAGGCCTCCCCAGTTTATGTCAGATCTGCTAGCAGACCAATATCACAGCTGTGGACCTTCACAGCACCAACACAAACCAACCTCATAGAGGAGTTGTTAGAGGCTCCCACAAATTCCTAAAACTTGTCAAAACACATAATATTTGCCATTATCCCAGTGTACATCTGTCTGCCCTAACTCCATCTGTCTGTTTATCTGTCTGTCTGTCTGTCTGTCTGTCTAGACACCTACCAAGCCACAGTGAGTCTATGGTCCCAGTGGAAGTATAGCTATCTGTTGCCATCCTACTTAGTACTAGACAACTTTCTCTTGTACTGGCCCTAATAAACTACACCCCGACTGATACAAGTACATCAATATTGTTATATTGAGTATCTTTTTACTTGAAGCATGAAGTATTATAAATATCAGATTAACTCCATATATAAATTTTGATGAAGCATGTTTCCCTATTGTGTGAGGTATTGAACAGATGTCCAGTGCTGGAAAACACCAATATCCACTCAGTTTGCTTGGCCGAGTGGAGAATATTCAATTAATTACACACAAAAGACTGATGGATTTTTATGCAATCTCATATTTCACCACTTATTCATAGTGCAGTGACATACAAACCACTGTGCTCAAGTTAAAAGAAAAGAATTTATTGCAGTTACTGTGTATTGATTTTAAGGGAAATGGACCAAACTGTTGTTTACAAGCAGCTATACATACGCTAAGATTCAGGATAATGTAATAAACAATAGAGGTGATTGGAGAAAAGTTTTCTTATCAATGAGTTTAATTTTCCATGCAAAACTGTAGAGTTCCTATGTTTCAGCATTCAGTTTGTAAGAGTGTTTTCATTTGTTATTTAATAGTGTTGGCCAAAAAAGTGTCAGAGATTACAAAGACCTGCTAATTGGTGGCTACAAAGCGAACAAGCAGCTATATTAACCTGGATCTCGAGAATTCAAACAACTCTGACATTTGCGTCAGAAATGCACACATATTTTTTTTCCTGTACTATCGACTATATATCTTTACATTTATCTTCATGACCTTTCTCAAAAAAGAGAGAATTGTTCTCAATTACTTTTCTGCTTTCCTGGCCTAGGTTCATCACCTTCCCCACAAACCAGACTTTTCCAGCAAGAAAGACCACCTGGGTATTCCATCTTCTGTCCAAAAAATTGAGCATTAGCAAATTCCTTGGAGCTCATCCATCCTTTCTCAATATTGACCTTGCCTCAAGACTCCATTAATCCTGAGAAATGTTCATCAAACCCCCTCCTCTCTTAATATAATCTGCCAATATCCTACTGAAGATGTTGTTACCTTGTCCGTTTACGTAAATAAACAGATTGTATTAAGGTGGGCCATTATGGTTCCATTACCAAGAATAGCAAACACATAACCTTTCCCACCTGGTGAGTTTCTTTCTGAAAGTTCTCTGGCTTAGATTCCAGGTAAAATATCTCTATGATCCACACTTATGACTGTCACTCCCCCTTTCCCCAAAAACTCCACTGTCAGATGATTCTGCCAATATTGCACACTTCCCTCCTTTTTTTTTTTTTTTTTTTTTTTTTGAGGCTAAAAAAGCTAATCAGGTAACTCACTCATTACCAGCTGTTATAAGTACATGCCTTGTATGTTGTGCCACATGTAAGTGTGAAATATCTTTCTTTCGCGTACGTTTTAATGTTTTTCCTGTGTTTTGTACAGGAACAAAAGTGTGAACGAAAGCAAATAAAGGGTGCGACATCTTCCAAACCTGAAAGTAACCCAAGATGGCCCAGTCCCAGATGTGTTACACAAAATGTTAGCAAAGCGAATGCTACAAGGCAAAACTTGATCCAACCTCTCCCATGAAAATTAAAGGGACCTAACAACGATATCAATGAACACAAAGATGATTTTATATAATCTACAGAAACAGGTATGATCATATGGAGTTGAAAGAATCCTCTATTCAGCAGGTTAAAGATCCATATAAAGGGGTATTCATCTTTACCCCACACTTGTCTTAATAACCACACTAAAATATCTTATTCATGTTATTGAATAAAGTGCAAAAAAAGGCTGTATTATGATTTTTGATAACATTTATTTGCTAAAAATTAATTACCATACGACAAATCACTTATAGGGAGTATTTCTTTTCAAAACCACAACAGACGTAAATGATAATCGGAATCAACAATCCACAGATGATCTTAAGCCCTTGCATACATAAAACTTTTGACCAAGAAGTTTTTAAATAATGGTGTTCTTTCCCAAGCAATCTACTGGCCTATACCACAAGCGACCTCCACACCTGTTTACACTGCACTTGAACGTCATCATTTACAAATGTAGGTTTTATATCCTGTCAAATCTTGTGCCCATTCTCCTCCTCCTCCCACCTCCTTACACCTCATGTCAGCCTGTATTACAAATATTTAGGGCGCATTTAGAACAGATGATCCGAGTACTAACTGATCCACCTGGTGACCAACTAAATATGGCCGAACACACTTCAAAAGTGATACTGCTATTTCCCTAATGGTCTCCTCATCTCCACACACGCCGTTGCTGCAAGGGCGTAGCAATTAAACCTCAGAGCTGAGATTTAATCCGTTTCATGACTCGTCTGGAGGTGGGGAGAGCATCAGTATTCGGTGGCATTGCTTTTGAAGTGGGGTCGGCCATATTTAGTCAGTGGATCATCTTGGTCTGAATGCGCTTCATACAGGTCTCTAGTACACTTTTACTTTTTTTTTCTGGATCAGGCAACTTTTTGGGAGAAAGATCTAAAGGCACATTATCAATTATGTTGGGGTTTATTGAAGTGCTGTCCCAAATCCTGGATAAATAAAGTCAAAGTTTTAGCAAACCATTTTTATTTCAGTTCTTTTAAAAGAATGACAATATTTGCCAACACTTGTTTCCAATCAAATTTTTTTTTTTTTTTGTAAATAAACCCCAAATTAAGGGCTACATATCTCCCCCCCCCCCCCCCCCCCCATAATACACACTTGAATAGAAAAGAATATATCCTGTGACATAATCCATAAATTGCCTTATTTCTACTGAGTCATGACCCATCAAAAGAAAAAAAACGAATTATCAGGATATTACCTGATAAATTGAGCAACCTTTAAAAATGCTGAACAATTGAAAATTATACATAAGCTTATTTAATTTCCTCTTTCAGCCAAGTGCCCTGAACAGTGGAATTTGAGAATTGATTTTCATTTAGCACTATTATCACTTTAACCTGCAATTCATTTTTTTTCCTTTTTGTTGTGATAATGGACGTCTGACAGCCTGAGCTTATGCTGTTTTGCTAGTTTTGGGCAATTTGAAAGAAAGGCAGATATATATATTCATCCCCCCATCCCTATGATTACAATTTTCCTCCAGTTTGAAACTGATATATATTTCCTCTCACACTTCAATTCAACAGTACCAGAACAAATGCCTATGAGTCAAAATTTCAGACAAAGTATTATAAAGCTAATGAACAACTGCTAAGTTCAAACATTAAGATGTTCTTTCTACATAAATATCCTTTACCAAGCTTTAAAACCCTCTTTCTGAATTATTCTAAAATCTTTGGGGTTAAT